TGCAACATACGTTGACTAGAGGGTCTGGCTGACATTAAACATTCAGTGCACTGCAAATCAACACATAATCAGATTCAGCTGTCAACTCCGGTCGTGAAACAGCACACTAGCTACTGAAGATGGCAAACAGTAAGATGGTGTGTGAGAATGTCCCGACCGCCGTGCTGTTAGTTTTTAATTCAACACCACTCAACGTAGAAGACCTTCTAACTTAACATTTATTTGGTTATATGGATTGTAGATTAGATTAGGTTTGGGGAACTGTTGTCTTAGCCTCGACTTCACCTCCGGTAGCTGTTGTTTGTCGTCTCAATATGGGACGCATTTTTTCGTTATTTTAAAGCTTCAACCCGGCTATAGTCGGGAGTCCTTATTTAACATAACGGTTGAACGGGGTTTCTGGGTTCTATCCCAGTATCTCCCCCTAAACAGACAGTCGAATATTTTAGGGAGTGGTAGATAGGCTGCATGGAGTCGTGGGACTTAGGTTGCATGCAGTCGTAGGACCTAGGTTGCACTCTCTCGTGGGACGTAGATGGGCTGGGGTTAGGCCCAGTTCTAGATGTTTTGGGGTAGTTACAGGCATCAGAAAGACTTTGGTCGAAACGTTCGGTTGTATTCGTCTGCGTCTTTTCAATTCCTTCTGATAAGCTTTCTAGACAATTTTAAAAAGTTTTTCCAGTCATAGTTTGTGCTGTATTTAGTATTTCGTTGAGAAAGATTTTGGTCGAAACGTTCGGCTGTGTTCGTCTGCGTTTGTTACATTCCTTCTATTGAGCTTTCTAGTCAATTTGTGTGTAATATTCAGCATTTACTACACTAACGCCTCGTTGTTAACAGGAATCGCAGGGACCGTGCAATTAAGAATACGTTTTATAAAAAAAAACATAACCCACTGTTGGCAGCGAGCCACCAACAGTCTTCGGTTATATTTGTGGTATGGTTTATATGCGCCACTTGCGTGGCTGAGATTATGGTATGTGCGCCAGCTCTCTGGGTAAATGTTCCTTTCCTCAGAGACTGACCACTCCTTCCTTTTCTGTGCCCAACGTGTTCTTCCTGTCTTTATATTCCTGACTTTTTCCTCCTAGATCCTCCCCCGTCCGGTTCATTGTCTTTATTATGACCTATCCACTATGCTAGGTGTAACGATGGAAGATCAACATAGGCACGATGATATCATGAGGAGAGTCGGCACAGAACCAATACTGAACTGTATCGGTAGACATCCGATCAAGTGGTTTGGCCATGTAACAAGATTGGCATCAGACAGGGCACCTCAGAGAGTGATGTTACACAAATATAACGGTAACAGAACTAGAGGTCGACCACGCAGAATAGGGAATGCAGCAATAGCAGAGACACAGAAATACCACACCAAATACGAAGCGAACAGAAGTGCCTGTTCCAGACAACTATTCCTTCCCTGACGCTGCGAGGCCTTCCACGAGTAGAGAAAATAAGAAGAAGATAAGAATACCCTGGACAGATAAAAGAGCAATGAAAACTAACAACAAAACTAACACCAAAACTAATGAGTCCCATCTCCTCTCTCTTGCTCTAGTTGAAGGCAGCCATGCTGTCAAAGGTTCTATGTTAGCAGGGAACTCCGGACACCACGATGAATGGAAACTCTACCAGTGCTATCATAGATCTTGACGAGTGGGACCGGCTCGCCATAATAGCAGGCGCCACTCTCTTTCTCTTGATTGTGATGTTTGTAATGCTATGTGTCCTGAACCCAGGCTGCTGCCTCAGTGACTGTGGTGGATCTCAGTATAGTCAGAACGGTGGGTCATTAGAACATTTTCTTTATAATCTTGCTTTTTCAACTCCTGCTGTTTCTCTTCTTTCTTTTCTAATATGTTTCACAACTTCTTCTTATCATCCGTCTCCTCCTCCTTCTAATGTTACCCCTCTTATTTCTCTATGTGTTTTATGCAATTTCCTACTCATCATTATCTTCTTTCCCCTTCTCCCGTCGATGCTACTACGGCTACTCGTCTTGATCTTCTACTATATTTTATGCCTCCTTCTACTTATCCTTCCCGTCGTTCTGCTCCTGTCGCTTTTATTCCTCTTAATCTACTCCTATATTCTATGCCTCCTTCTACTCATCCTTCTCTTCCTCCTTCTGATCCTGTCGATGCTTCTATTGTTACTCATCTTACTCTTCTCTTATACTGTATGTTCTCTTCTACTCATCCATATTTTCCTCATTCTGCTCCCTATGATGCTTCTACTGTTACTTATCTTACTTTTCTCCTATACTGTATGCTTCCTTCTACTTATTCCTCTCTTTCTCCTCCAGCTGATGATACTGATCTTATTTCTCTCTTGTGTTTTATGCCTCCTTCTAATCCTTCTCCTGCTCCTCCTCCCCTTTCTGCTGATGCTGCTGTTGTTACTAATCTTACTCGTCTATGTTTTAAGCGTGTTTCTGCTCATCATTCTCTCCCTTCTGCACATCATTCTCTCCCTTCTGCTCATCCTTCTCTCCCTTCTGCTCATCATTCTCTCCCTTCTTCTCATCATTCTCTCCCTTCTGCTCATCATTCTCTCCCTTCTGCTCATCATTCTCTCCCTTCTGCTCCTATCGATACTAATGCTAATTAGGAGATCTCCTTCAGAATCGGAGTGCAACTATCTGAGACGCGAGGAACCGACAAACAGAATATAAATTAGCAAGATTTTTAAAACTTACATGAATCCAAAACAAAAATTTTGAACAAGATACAGTCCCGAAGTGGACGAACCATCAGAACTTTCGCCAGAGTTTACAGCCGATGATCGTTATGAAAAAGGAGGAGGAGGATGAGGAGAAGAAGAAGAAGAAGCTTAGTTATAAACGACAGCTTTCAAAATGACTTTTTAAAAGCCAGTGCAATTTAAGAGGATAAATAATAATACTAAAGATGATATTAGTAATTCTGACACCATATTATATCTCATGTAGCAGGTCCTTTGCAGAACGTCGCTCTCATCACAGTCTGCCTGTAAGAAACTCGGTCTCTTGCCAGTTCTCCCGCCTCATGAACTTTCATACTCAAGGAATCACTTATATCCTGTGCCCATCTTCGTGTCGGTCGGCCTCTGCCCCTCCTTCCTGGTACCATGCCTTCTGCTATAATTTTTTCCAATCCGTCGTGGCGCTTGATATGACCAAAATATTTCAGCTTTCGAGAAAGGATGCTGTTTATTAGCCAATCTTCTTTGATGTTCGGATCCATATTATATAGCTCGACTAAAATTAGGCTAATATAATGTGTCCTTGCGATAGTTTGTGAACGAGCCGGTTTTATTTAATATCATCTTTTTCCCTAATGGACTTCTTCTCAAACGTTTTTTGTTCATTCTAAAGATAACATAAAATCCTTACGGCCTTATATCAAAGACGTAATTTTAACCTTTCTTCTTCTTTCTTCTTTTGTCGTCTCGCTGATCCCAGGTTGTAGCCCAATGTAGTGGTTTTCTATATTTGTCTTGCGCTTCTCATGTGGCTTGAGTGATGGATTTGTTCATCCTTTTGCAGGTTTCAACTACACTATTTATCCGTATCTTACTTGGTCTTCCTCTCACCTTCCCCCCAAATGTCCTGCTGTAAAAGGTCTCATATGCAGTTTGGGCTGACCGCATTCTCACTAGATGGCTGAACCATTTCATTCTTTGTCAGTATAATCCAGACATGGTCTTTTCCCAACTTTCTCTCTAATGTTGGTATTCTCAACCCTTGTTCCTTTTTGTGTTGTTAGTGACCTTGCGGAGACAGCGAATTTCATATGTAGTTATTTTCTTTTCTAGTGCCCTATTCATTGTCCATGTTTAATTGAACCCTTTGTACCTAAAATTTTAGTTTAGCTGTTTATGTCTCACAGTCTCTCTGTTGAATTCCTTTAGATCTTCTGATTTGTTGTTTATAAGCTTAACTTCCATAACTATGAACTTTTTTTTTAAAACCACAGTGTTGAATTAATTGTGTATCCTTTACAGGACGCCTCAGAAGCAGCCCCAGCATTTTTTTTAGCTGTTGTGATTTTTCTAGGAAAATTGTCAGTAGTTTGCCATTGCCTCTGAACTATCAGCTCTCGGTAACAATGTTGAAACCAGCGCAAGACAAATCGTCGGCAGCTGGTATCGAACCAGACACGCCAGCATTACGAAGCGCGTTTGCAACGCCTAAGCCACAGTTGCCGACAACCACAGCGAAAAGCCGGAAAATGCAAGGGACAGTCACGAGTAAGTGGTGACCCAACGACAAGCAGTGATAATGGTAAAGCTGAATCCCTTGAACAACGGACATGTAATCAGATCTGACGGCCTCTCAAAAACAATACTATATTGGACTCAGTAGAGGGGAAGACCAAGAATGACCTGGATACAGAACTTGAATGACTGGAAAGACCTTAGGCATTCAACCATGGAATCCATCGTATCTGACAGTCAACAGTGGAGGGAGCTGAACAGTCAGTCAGCGGGACGATGATGGTGCTAAAGTTCAATCCCTTAAAGCAGCCCTCCCAACCCCCACCCCCTAATGTGGGGCTCCAAGGGGTTTAGACTCCCAGATTCCGAGACTATATCTCCCCAATACGGTGCTTGCTGTTTATGTATACTTATGTTTGGATGAAACCGTTTTTCTACAATGTACGGACTACGTTGGGAGTTAATGTTAAATCCCTGACACTAACACGATTGGGTGACCAAGGATTTAGCTTGGTAAAGCACGTCTATACTGTCTTCGAGGTCGAGACATATGATACTTCACCAACTTCTCATAGGAACAATTCAGCAGGGTGTACATAGGAGTGGCTGCTGCATTTGAGGACTGAGCACGTACGGAAATACCCAGTGTGCAAAGACGTCGATCGTGATAATAACACAACACATCATTAAACCGTTTTGTTTCGTAAAAAATACAAGATTTTGAATTCATGATCACATTTTAAATTATACTTGTTCCCGCCACAGAGAAAATGCCCGCTCAGACTATATATGGATCAATGTACATCCCAGCCTTGACCCCGGAGAAGGGAGACCAGGGCAAGAAAAGCCAACGCGGGTCATGGCATCCTTTGGGCTCCGTCCGAGAGTCAGAGATCTCGGACTGGTCAGATGTTAGTCTACCTGAAATTATCGAGATGAAACAGGTAAGAAACTGTCGGATGTTGAGATAAAAACTTACTTCACAGCATCCGGACATTTCCACAGTTGTCCCGTTGCCATCTTCAACAGCCAGCGAAGAGCTCCACTTCTGATGGTGCCAGTATCTGTTTGATTATACGTCCATCTTGCCTTTCCTCTAATTGAAGAGCTGTGACCAGATCCTCTGGTCACTCCCAGCTGGTCTATTCTCTCCAGACCACAATGATCAATTCGTGCTTCTGCACAAGCAGACTTGTGTAGGGTTCTAATCCCAATTGGTAACAGGTTTACTGAGTGCCCAGCAGGCACTGCAGAATCAGAAATTCAACAATTGATTCATGATAATTCCCGTCCAGAAGATATAATTATCTACAGAGGTTAGAAATGTGACGATACTAACAATCCATTCATCCCCTTGTGAGATGCAATTTTTCATTATTTGAAGCCTTACTCTGGCTCTTGCCAGTGGCCGCAATATAGCCCGGCCATAAATATGGTCTAAAGGCTGAACGCGGTTTCTGGGACCTCTCCACGGTGATCCTCATCCATATGGTGGCACTTTGTGTCATCGGATGTTTATCGCTTGTGTGATGTCCTAGTGGGGCAAAAATCTACTACTGCTAATGTGACGATATAACCACGGGTAAGAGAAGAAATCGCCTGTGTCACTTAGGGAAGTAAACAATAGTACTAAAGTAATACATGTCCTAAGAGGCAACTGTTGATTGGATTGTTTATATCACTAAAAAGCAAACTAGCGGCAAACTGTAACAACTTATGAACAGGTCTCTGGTGATTTTGCTGATGGATGTGATCAACTGGGAGATGAAAAAAAGAAGAATAAGAAGAAGAAGAAGAAGAAGAAGAAGAAGAAGAAGAAGAAGAAGAAGAAGAAGAAGAAGAAGAAGAAGAAGAAGAAGAAGAAGAAGAAGAAGAAGAAGAAGAAGAAGAAGAAGAAGAAGAAGAAGAAAAGGAAGAAGAAGTAAAAGAAGGAGAAGAAGAAGAAGAAGAAGAAGAAGAAGAAGAAGAAGAAGAAGAAGAAGAAGAAGAAGAAGAAGAAGAAGAAGAAGAAGAAGAAGAAGAAGAAGAAGAAGAAAAAGAAGATGAAGAAGAAGAAGAAGAAAAAGAAGAAGAAAAGAAAAAAAGAAGAAATAACAGTAGTATCAACAGCAGTAGCGGCGGCGGCGAAAGCAGCAGCAGCAGCAGCAGCAGCAGTTGTAGTAATAGCAGCAGCAGTAGCGGAAGCAGCAGAAGAAGAGAAGAAGCTATAAAATATGGTTAACATTTTTTATGAACAACGGAGACGGGAAAGATCTTCGTAGAGATAAAAAAAAGTGTACACATGGGGAGATAGACTGCGTCATCAGAAACGAAAAAGGGTTTAGTTAATTCAGGGCAATTAGAAAAGGAGTTAGTCAAGGGGACGCTTTATCGCCTGATCTTTTCATCATTTACAACAAGTGCTGGCAAAGTGTAAATATTTTAAGATATTCAAACGCCATAATTTAATATTCGGTGTATCCAAGTAGAACAAAAGCAATCAAATAAATGGGCTCTGAAAAGACTTAGAATGAGAAAACAGTTACTGAAGAGAAAAAATATATAGAAACCTCTACAATATGTCGGTCATAGCAACAGGCTTATTATTACTTTTTTTTTTCTTCAAATCACAGTGGTAGGAAAATTTGAAGGCAAGCAAGAGGTATACAACGATACAAATGGGCGAATAAGATGAAGAGAAGAACAGCAGTACAGTCGTAGCAAACATTTTGAAAAGTAGTTTAACATTTATTTGAGAGAAGTCAGATAGTAGAGCCAGGAGGGATCGCATTAAACCGTAACAAAACTACAAGTTTCTCATAACTGTTTCCAAGAAAGATCACATTCCTGCTTCTTATGTAAGAACTATCTTTGATATTTGTAAATTTATGCTGTACTGCCGTCCCCTTGTGGGATGTAACTTTTTTTTTGTTTTTTGTTATTTGAAGCCCCTTCCTTGCTTTTGCCAGGGGGGCCTGAATATAGCTTGGGCATAGATATGGCCTGACGGCTGAAAGGGGTTTCTGGGACCTCTACCACAGGTGATCCTCATCCGTATTGTGGTGGCACGTTGTGTCACCGGGTGTTTATCGCTTGGCTTGTGTGATGTCCTGGTGGGGTACAACTACCTACCTACCTTTTTGTTTGTACTACTTTTAGGCTGCGTAGTACGGGGATTTAAAAGAAAGGGGGGGGGGGTGCGGGGGGGGGGGGGAGGTGGAGAAGAGAGTGATGAGCCTGAGGATTTAGGGCCGCGTGCCTAGTGCGGTCGGCACGAACTCTCCATCGACACCAAGGATCGAACCTGGAAGTCCACCATGAGAGTCTCAGGTGCCAGTCCACATGTGCACACAGCAGATTCGCCAATCTTAAATTGTGTGCACACGGCTGCGACGTCGACTGTGCCCTGTTCTAAGGTGTAGAATAATGGCTTGCAAAGCTATCTCATACCGGTTATCTATTTCAGAGAGTATATTCGATATGCCTGATAATTTTCCAGACCGGAGTGCCTGCTTTTGCCTCTGTCAGAAATACCACTTGTTGTGAAATATACCCTATGTTTAGTAGTTTCTCAGCTGCTTTCTGAATGGCTTGAACTTCTGAATCGCAGTTGTGAAAGTGCTTTACTGTTGGTATATGTATCCTTGGTATTTTTAGGGTGCGCAATGTACACTCCTGCTCCTCCATTTCTGACTGAATTTTGTACTGACCCATCTGTGTAAACACGAACCCAAAGATTCTGCGGGTATTCATCAAGTACACTAGGGCTGGCTGTTTTACGCTGCCCACTGTTTTGTTCTTAATTACGCCTTTCACTTCTGTCTGAATGTGTATTGGAAACTTAGAATCCTCTCTCCAGGGGGTCTGTTATGGAATAGCATTTAAGTGACTCTCAGTTGCAGGCAAATCGTTGGTTTGTCTGCAGAGCCGTTTGGCATGGTGGATGAAAGTGCTTCTTTTTAGTCGCCCCATAGCTAGATTTTGGAATCTTTCATTCATCGGGTGTCTAGGTATGCTAATTAACTTTTCTGCTTGTTTTAGCATCTTAGTGTCTCTGCATTGACTCAGTGCTTGGGTCCTCCCCATTTTCTCGATCGCAGCTATAGTTGTTGATACAGGATGTAAAAAAAAATCATTTACAATACCTAATTTTACCTACATGTTACTTCCTAATTTCAGGATCCGAACTATCACCCGCGGAGGTGGTCACGCACAAGCGACTACAGTAGTGGCGCCAGCACTATGACCTCTCAGACCCAATACGAGAGCAGACTGGCTTACGGCCTGATCTTTGACCGAACCAATGGAAAGCTTCACGTCCGGGTCATTCAGCTGGGTAACTTCCGGGTCATGGATCCTGACGGGGTCATGGCTCCCTACGTGAAAGTGTGCGTCTATAGGCGACCAAAACATTTCTTCAAATTCAAAACAAAGTAAGAAAAACAATTTTTTATTGGGGGGGGGGGGGGGAGGGGTGGGAGGGTACTGATGTCAACCCCCTCACCCCCATTTAAAAAAGGAGGTAAGGGGGTAATTGATCCAATAAACCATGCATAGAAACTGTCTTGAAAAGTCTTTGCCTTAACTGTTCATATTGTTTTTTAACACATTAGTAAATTATATTTATCTCCTATTCAGCGCAGTATTAGTATGCTCCTTAACACGTATACTGGTCACATTAAAAGACATGACACTATTTTTGAAACCATACCGAAGGGAAAGGTTGCGGGCAAGAGGTAGACAACGATACAAGTAGGAAGACAGCATGAAGAAATGGACAAACAGCAGTCTAAGAGAGTAGACAACAGACCCAGCGTGTTGAAGATCCAATGCAGGCAACCTTCAACGTGAAGACGGCACCTTATTGGTGATTAAACAAGGATTACACCTATTCAGGGTTTCCTCTTTTGGCCAGAGAATGTGTTTCCGGTGCCCTTAGACGTAGACCAGACCCTGTCTGAAAATGCTTCCTCCACGGGGTTTAGGTTTTGTTAGTTAGTTAGTTGCGTATCCTTTACAGCGATTTGCAGAACCAACCCCAGCAAATGTTTAGCTGTTGTGGTTTTCCTAGGCAAATGTTACGGTAAGTAGTTTATCAGTGCCAACTAAACGGTCAGCTCTCAGTACTTCTGTCGAAACCAACGCAAGACAAATCGTCTGCAGCTGGGATCGAACCCGGAACGCTGGCATTTCGAAGCGCGTTCACAACGCCTAAGCCACAGACACCGACTTGGGTATTGTAGTGTCAGCAAATTCCAACCTATTGTCCCTAAGTGTCAAGACGCCGATAGTGCACCTATTTATAGCCCTGATGTATGGACTCGCTCGATCTTGACATTTCAAGCCATAGGTCATGCGACTGTTGCTTCATTTTGTACCTGATCGTGTTTTTTCGTATAAAACAACACCGTAGGTTAATGACCTCGGTTTTTCCCCCCACCTGAAAACTGAACTTTTCCTAGCCCATTTGAAAGTAAAGTCGAAAATGTAAAGGTCCGTTTTTCACGCCTTTGGGCGTATAGGGCATATAGGGCTAGACCTATATTTTATAGACCAATCGGCACAAGATGGGTGATGTGGTCAGCATGACGCCGGCCGCCTTTTCTTTCCAGGACTGCAACCGGTACCCACTCAAGGCTGGTCGACCTGGGAGTCAAGGTCATTAAAAAAAAAGGCCGGCTCCTCCAAGAAGCGAACCCACGACCTTCCGATCCGTACACGAGCGTCTAGCAGCTACGCCACGGCGACTTCTAGGCCTTCTGAAAGCTGGGATGTAAAGGTGGTCGGAGTTGAGTGCTGACTGGTCTTTTTAAATACGGGTTTATAGCATCATTTGCCCGGTGCGCCATTTGCGTAAACAGTGCTCTTTACTTTTACAGTCAACGGGCCATTCTCCTCCTGTCTCGTCTCGTCTCGTAGCCTCGTAGTCTTAGTTTCAGCTTCATAGCAAACGGATATCGCTACCTAGCTGTAAAATAATACACATCATGCTACTTCCCATCTTAACAGCGAATGATGAGGAAGAAGAAGAAGGACAAGAAGAAGAAGAAGAGGAAGAAGATGAAAAAGAAGAAGAAGAAGAAGAAGAAGAAGAAGAAGAAGAAGAAGAAGAAGAAGAAGAAGAAGAAGAAGAAGAAGAAGAAGAAGAAGAAGAAGAAGAAGAAGAAGAAGAAGAAGAAGAAGAAGAAGAAGAAGAAGAAGAAGAACCACCGAACGAACTTTTTTTGAAAGGTTAAAGAATTTAGCACGCATGCCAGTCTTACATTTTGCCTTTTCTTCTTCTTCTTCGTGTTCACCGGCTGTAAACTCCAGTGGAAAGTTCTGGTTGCTCGTCCACTTCTGGACTGCAGCCCTGTTCCAGAACCTGAGTGTTGCGTGTGCATCCGTTTTACAAATCTGGCTCATTTATATGCAGACTGTTTTTGTCTTGCCTCTCAGACAGATGCACTCCGACTTCAAAGAAAGCTCCTAACTAGTCGACTCTTACGACATTCTTTTGGGTAGGCAATGGGTCTATTCTTGTTTTCCCTATAATAGGGCCCCAGAACCCACACGGGGCATTTGCCCTTCAAAGAAGAAGGTGAAAAAAAAAAGAAGAGAAAGAAGACAAACAGATCAACAAAAGTGTCAATCTTTAATTCCCGCCACTCTTACAAATCAAAACCAGTAAACAAGCCGCATTTAACGACTTCTCCAGGAGCCCCAGAGAACTACATCGCAGTCATCTCACAGCCGAAGCACAGACTAAAATCCTCAGACGATCAGACAACCCTGTTTTCAACGAAACACTGACTTTCAACGTTGACCCTACAGACATCAGCCCTTACGCCCTGAAATTTTTAGTCTGTGATTTTGACAAGTATTCTCGACACGTCAACATTGGTAAGATTTTTTATTTCGTCTAGTTAGTCTTCTTCTGAAACTTAAGTTTTTCGTGCACATCCGTCTTATAAATCTGGCTTATCTGTATGCAGACTGTTGGTTATTTGCCTCTCATGCAGAGGCACTCCGACTTGAAAATTGAAAAGAAAATAGTAGTCTTTTAGGGCATGATTTTTAGGGGGACAGAGGAGAGGGTCAATTATTTCTCCTCCCAAAACAGGGCCCCGGAACTCACACGTAACGATTGTTGCTCTAATCTAACCAGCCGTCGGTATATACAGTATGGATGCGACAAAGAACTATGACTGACAAGTGAAAGGGATGGACCGTCAAACGGTTATGTGAACATTTCACTCCTACTTCGTGCATTTTGTAAATAGTCCGTTTTTGCTTTTAAAAAAATCAACTTTCATTTAATGATAGAAAATAGTTGCCGATATTGAAAAACATAGGGGGTGGGGGGGGGGGGGAATCAAAGAACCATGAGTTGTAAACCCATTGGCTCGGCACTATGGATATCGCAACCCTTCGGCCTTGATTCCATAACAGATACCGTAAATCTGGGAAATATGTGGCTTTTCAGCCTACCCCCGAGCGTAAACTCGGCCGACAAGGAGTTCATCACCCGGTCACTGTGCAGCTGGTTTAACCAGCTTAGCTAGCGAGCCGAGCCATTTAACATGTTATTTTACACATAAGTGAAACTTGAAATATGATTAAGTGATTTAAGGATCGACATCAATACACACCGGGCAAACAAACAGATGCTCCGTCTCCAGCAGCAAATATCTTAAAGTGTAGATGGTAACTGTTCCCGTAGCACACTGATTACACACAGGCGGTTCTCTGCTTCTCATACTTTTGTTGGATGCAATCCTAATCTCCGTTCGCACATGTTACCTCATCTAATTTAATGTTTTTATTAGCAAACCTTTTATAAATGGTCTTCGGTACCCACTGAGAATCAGACTATAATTCCTCTGTAATCTGTTTCCTGTTATCAGCGCCGGAGCTACTTTGACGACGAGTAAGACAACATATTAGGACAATTTCGGAGGTGTCACATAATTCTTTTCTAAGATATAAGTTAATTAAATTGGACACCTCATCATTGTCACAATGTTCTCCAGTGTCGCTATTCTCCTTAGGTGGCTAAAGAACAGTATTTGTCTCTTTCGTATTGTTGTGTATATAAATATACTTCCATTAGCTTTTTTCAAGCGATCATTGTAAGTTACTCTGGCCGTCCAATGTATTCGTAACATTCGTCTCAAAAACCACATCTCTGTTGTTTCCTAATTCTTCCTTATTTTTTCACTGACATTGCAAGATTCGCTGCAACACAGCAGAACAGGTTCAGTGTAACATTTTAGCACCCTCTTTCTGACATTAAATGAGAGCGATTTATTGCATAAGATAGTTTGATTTTCTGAAATGCAGCTTTCGCTTGACCTATTCTGCTTTTAATCTCTGTCACACATTTTCCATCTGATGATATGATTGTACCCAGATATTTGAATTTATTGACCTGGTTAAGTCTTTGTTCTCCAACTGAGACATCACAACGTGGAATTATCTTCTTCTTTGATGTAACCATTACTTCCGTTTTCTTAATATTCAACGAACGTCCTTTCTTAGCACTCTCCATCCCCACAATATCCAGCAGTTGTTGTAAATCATATGCATTTTCAGCTATCAAAACTGTATCGTCTGCATAACGCAGATTGTTTTAGATTGTGTCCTCCAACTTTTACCTAATTATCTTTAATTTCCCTGAACATTATTTCGACACCGGGAGTAACTAAAAACAATTGAGTGGCAAAATCTAATTAAAGTAGAACATTTAAAAAAACTATAAACATTGTACCAGACAAACAAACAAACAAACAAACAAACAAACAAAAGAAAACCTAACAAAAGCGTATATAAAAGCTTGTAAAAATATATATTGTGTTTGACAATGTGGTAAGAAAAGTTATATTGTAGAACATGTTGATAACTGTAAAAGTAGGTGATAGTGGAGGTGGTCGGTGTGTGTTTTTGTTGTGTCCGCCTTTAACAAACAGCGGACACTTTGTATTGTGTTTTACAGCAATGCTGCCTATTTGGCCCGTCACACGCAAATTCAGCAAAAAGATAATCAGTGACATTTTACGGCATGCTTGTTAGGGTACAATGGGTCACACCCCCTCTCTTTCCCCCCTTCAAATGGGGGTCTGAGAACCCACCCTGGGGATCCAGAGAAATAACGCTGGGTCGAACAAAACTGACTTAAAACACTAAGAGCCGAGCTCTGTGAGGAGACATTATTTCTACGTCTGCACAGCACATGATAATGTTGGGTCAGCCAAGGCCGGCTTCAGCTGACGGGTAGTTCTGCTGACGTCACCGGGTCGGGCTAAAGATGTGTTAAAGCAGCGGTTCTCAAACTGGGTGCCGAGGCACCATTGGGTGCCGTGAGCGTATGCCAGGGGTGAAGCGGTAATAATCAAGAAAAGTCGGCTTAAAATTGTGAAATTATTAAATGAGGCATGTAGATACTTGAAAGTTAAAATTTAGGTTGTCTTCCCTTGGCACTGTCGAAAACAGTTTATTTCTTGTTTGAGAACCGCTGCGTTAACGCATCTTCAGCCCGACCCGGTGACGTCAGCAGCACGGCACGTCAGCTGGAGCCGGTCGTGGGTCAGCCTTGCTGGCAAGTGTCTTTCAGCAAAATCTAATCACGATAAGGCTTCAGGCCCCAAGCAAGAGGCCGGTCGGTGACTATGCTGTGATAAACAGCAGAAGAATGACATAAATCCGTTAGTTGATTGGCAAGAGACAAGAATTACTGCTGTCCAATAAGGTCAATCATCGATGTGAAGATGACACGCCCTTCTATCTTCCCTAAAAACCTGGTCCGCCGTCAAAAACAAAACATTGGGGAAGAGGGACGCTCATCCTCCTTACACATTTGCTAGGGTCAGCCTAATGCACCTAAGTCTTGTTTAAGTGTGTAATGATAATACTTATCCGAACCGCCAATAAATCTACCAGTGTATTTAAAATAAAAGATCTATATCTGTGGCTTAGGCGCTGCGAACGCGCTTCGTAATGCTGGGGTGCCGGGTTGGATCCCAAGTGCGGGCCTTGTGACTTGCGTTTGTTTCGACAGTGGTATTGAGAAGCCGACCGCCCAGAAGCAATGGCAAACTACTGGAGGTAAATTTGCCTAGAAAAACCACAACAGTAAAAAAAAAAAATACTGGGGTTGGTTCTGCAGCCTTCTGTAAAGGATAGACAACCAACTTTATGTATAAACAAATGCTAAAAACGGGAACAATTTTAAACCTGTGGACGAATGGGTGGATGGGAGAGGTTTAGCTGAGCATCCCCTATTTCTGGAAGTAAAAAGTGGTTGGGGGTGGGGGTGGGGGGGGGGGGGGGGGGGGGGGGGGGGGGGTCAGTGATTCGGCGCTTTTGCTGAAAATGTGATAATGCTGAAGTTTATTCAAACAGGCGAAGTCACGTGCGATCTCTCCAAGATGGAGTTGACTTCCGGGCAAGAAGTTCTATTTAATGACCTGCTGTTGGAACCCCAGGAGGTATGACCGGATTTTAAACTCTCTAAGTAGCAAGTTTTTAACCACTTGTTTCTTGGTCTTTCAAATGATAAGATGTTCTTGATTTCTTGTATCCCAGACTTAAGTTATTGTAATCCCTGTCATCTACATTATTTGTTGGTATTTCAATTTTTATTCACCCCAAACCACGGAAATCCGCGAGTTTCCGGGATAGTCCAAAGACATCACGTGAGAGGAATGTTTTTATTTTTTTACGGTTTTTTTTTTGTGTTTCTCTTTATATAATGTGTGTTTTACTCACCCGAACCGAAACCCTAACCCGTGCTAAATATAGATATACTAATATGGTTACCCTGTTTGTTAGGGATGAATTAAAATTGAAGTACCCACAGTGTCTTCAATAAACTCCCTCAGACCTGAGTATTTGTAAGCTCTTCTTCTTCTTCAGCATTCCGAGCCCTTGAGGTTCATTGCTGCAGATATCAAATGCCTCCATTCATCTCTCTGGTTGGCCTTTTGTTTCCAGTTGGTGACACCAAGTGTTTACAGGTCTGTTTAGACATTATATATCTGTTTCAGTAGCAGCTGCTTCCGTCTGAAAGAGCTAATGTCGTTGGATTCTTTTCCGTTTCGTCCTTCTTCTTTTGCCTTTCAAGCACCCAAAGGACCATAGGCCCTCAACAAACTCACGCCAAGTCATTCTCTTTTGAAGTATCACACGCAGCTCTCTGCATGTCCTCGCCATCTTTTTGACTTCACTCTCTAGCTCCCCTCTCTATATGTTTTTTAGTCTTCCTTTATTTCTATGCCCTGCGGGTTTCAGTGCAAAGACAATCTAGTTATATTGCTCTTAGGTTTTCTCAACGTGTGTCCTATCCAACAACAGAATCTTTTCTTCACCTCTTGTTCCACTGGAACTTGTTTAGTTCTGTCCCAAAGCTTTACATTAATGATTTTATCATACCATTTAATTCCCTCTATTCTGCACAGACGCCAGTTAATGAATGTTTGTAGTTAATTAGTAATTGCCTTAGTTGTTCTCCGTGCTCTGTCCGTATCGTATTCCTTGATAAGACACAGACAATTAGCATATAGTTTTTTTTTCGCCGAGGACGGGCAGTCGTGCCTGGTAAATACTGGCAGGCTGAAAACAAATTATCCGCTGCCGCTCCTCTCGGCAGTGAGCTGACTTTAGGATATACCGGCGTGGTATAGGCTCACTGAGACAAAGAAAACGGTGTAATAGAACAACAGAGCGTTAACATGCAAACTTTTAACCACGTCGCACCGTCAGTGTGGGAACCAACTCCTTCGTTGGGTACCGAGAAGAGGACACCGCACGTATTGTGCATTCATGATAATTCTTGATTCACGCAGAAGTCGGATGTGTCGCCTGAAAGGCTTAAATATCGCAGCCATGTCGTAAACGGGCACAAGGCATTGATATCCTCGACTAGACACATAAGAAGAAGAAGACGAAGAAGACGAAGAAGAAGAAGAAGAAGAAGACGAAGAAGAAGAAGAAGAAGAAGAAGAAGAAGAAGAAGAAGAAGAAGAAGAAGAAGAAGAAGAAGAAGAAGAAGAAGAAGAAGAAGAAGAAGAAGAAGAAGAAGAAAAGGAAAAAGATAAAGAAGAAAAAGAAAAAGAAAAGATGAAAAAAAAAGAAGCCTCACGGAAGTCGTCCTAGGAGGAGAAGCAGGAGGGGAGAAGCAGAAGAAGAAGAAGAAGAAGAAGAAGAAGAAAGACGAAGAAGAAGAAGAAGAAGAAGAAGAGAAGAAGAGAAGAAGAAGAAGAAGAAGAGTAGAAGAAGAAGAAGAAGAAAAGAAGAAGCAGAAGAAAGACAAAGAAAAAGAAGAAGAAGAAGAAGAAGAAGAAGAAGAAGAGAAGAAGAAGAATAAGAAGAAGAAGAGAGAAAGAAGAAGAAGGAGAAAGAAAGAAGAAGAAGAAAGAAGAAGAAAAGAAGAAGAAGAAAGAAGAAGAGAAGAAGAAAGAGAAGAAGACGAACCAGAAGAAGACAAAGAAAAAGAAGAAGAAGAAGAAGAAGAAGAAGAAGAGAAGAAGAAGAAAGAAGAAGAAGAAGAAGAAGAGAAGAAGAAGAAGAAGAAGAAGAAGAAGAAGAAGAAGAAGAAGAACCAGAAGAAGACAAAGAAAAAGAAGAAGAAGAAGAAGAAGAAGAAGAAGAAGAAGAAGAAGAAGAAGAAGAAGAAGAAGAAGAAGAAGAAGAAGAAGAAGAAGAAGAAGAAGAAAAAGAAGAAGAAGAAGAAGAAGGAGGAGGAGAATAAAAATAATAAGAAGAAGAAGAAGAAGAATGAGAAGAAGAAAGAAGTAGTAATAGTAGCAGGAGTAGCAGTAGCAGCAGTAGTAGCAGTAGCAGCAGCAGTAGTAGTAGTAGAAGAAGAAGAAGAAGAAGAAGAAGAAGAAGAAGAAGAAGAAGAAGAAGAAGAAGAAGAAGAAGAAGAAGAAGAAGAAGAAGAAGAAGAAGAAGAAGAAGAAGAAGAAAGAAGAAGAAAAAGAAGAAGAAGAAGATATACCCCGTTCAACCTGCAAACAAGTTATAATCAGGACACACGTAGCGGCAACGCCAGCCTGGTGACACCTGCAGTCCTTTGCGGGTGCAGAGATCTTGTGATCGCGGTGATGGCGAGTCTGGTATTTTATTTTCAGGAAGACCTCGGAGAGCTTCACGTGGCCCTGATGTACCTGCCGACCTCGGAGAAGCTCAACGTGACCATACTTGATGCTAAAGACCTTCGACTCACCGAAAGTCCCAGGAGAAACACGGGTGAGACATACACACACACACTTCATACACATACACTGTATGCATATGGGGCCGCGTTTGCGCAGTCGATAGGAGACTTGATTTCAAATCCAGCTGCGACTCGCTGCAGCCCACGGCCGATGTTCGAAACCGGGGGGGGGGGGGGGGGGGGGTTTTCCGGGGGGGGGGGGGGGGGTTTTACCCAACCTCTAGGTAATGGGTACCAGAGTTAACACTCTGGGGTAAATGGGGGAACGTCGCTGTAGCTACAGAGTCTCGTGCGGAGGGTGACACAGGCGGACAGTTTCTTATCAACTGTCCGTAATGGTTATAGAGCACTTATGGTTTATAACCGTGTGCAATGACGCTTATTCGCATCTTCCGACTACCTTTACTATATGCATGGTGGAACTGATGATGATGCCGGTGAGCCGGCGTAAGCCATATAGAGCCATTAGACCTGTACCGTTTAAAAGTACACCCGGCTAATCTGAGAACACTTTAAATTAAGTCTGCGTAATGGAAATATATCGCCTTGTAATGTTTATTATAAGAAAAATCAAAATTTTCTGGTCAGATACAATCTGAAACACTAAGCTGTCACAAAAATGTCACAAATCAATAAACTCTAAAAAGTAAAACCAAGAGAAGATGGAAATGGCTTGGCCACGTTATGAGACTGAATCCTGATATGCCTGCCAAAAACAGCTCTTACATAGATCGCAGAGGGAAAGAGAAAGAAGGGGCGCCCAAATACAACTTGGAGACGAAAGATGGAAAGCACCTGAGTGCGGCAACTTTGACATGGAAAACTGCACTGAAGATTGCACAGGACAGGAAAGCTGGAAAGTCCTCACTGAAGCCTCATGTGCCACTAGGCATAAAGAGAACTGATGATGAACCCAAAGGGGGAACCTTGAGATATTGAAGTGGGAGTTCCGGGGCCCACTTTGTATAAAGATGCAGAGAAGACCCATCGCCCCTTCTCTCTAGCAAACATGTCGTAAGAGTCAATTAATTAGGGATTATCTTCTAATTCGGAGTGCATATGCCCGAGAGCCAAGTCTGGATTCAAATAAACCAGATCTGTAAAACAGATGTACACGCAGAACTCAAGACTAAGACGAACAACCAGAACTTTACACTGGAGTTTACAACCGGTAAATGTAAAAAAAGAAAGGTCTACTCCCTAAATAGAGTAGGTCACTTTTCATTCACAAGTTTGTTGGGCTGGTCGACTTTACTGAAGGTTACAGGTGTGTTCTGCTCTGTTGTTTGCTTTCTGTGTCTTTCATTTACGTTTTCATTCAGCTAAAAAAATACACACACACACACACCTATATTATAATACTATATATATATATATATATATATATATATATATAAAGATACTATAAATAGGTATGATACATACATATACATATATATATATATATATATATATATATATATATATATATATATGATACATATATATATATATATTATACCCAGCATTTTGGTCACCAGATGTTTACACAAAGATCGTTCTCATGTATGATGGGAGATCGTTGAAGAAAACAAAAACTGCTGCGAAACCCAGTCAGGCCAACCTTATGTTCAACGAAAGCTTTGTGTTCGATGTACCGGTGTATCAGTTGGACAAAGTCTACTTTATTATAACCACCATAGAGGTTGAGAAGGTACGTCCACGTCTGTGATCTGTGTAGCTACAATTATCCACGCAAGGGGGTTACATAGTATCAGTCATCCTATTCCTCGAATGTGTAAAAAAAAAAAAAACTCACAAGCACACACGCGCTTTATTGTATTCTCCTACTTATTTCATTGTGGTGTTCTAAAGCAGCGTTTCTCAAACGTTTCTTCGCCGCCCCACCTTCGTCAGGTAAAACAAATTTTCGCGGCACGCCTTCCTTTAACGCGGTTTGAATACTTACGAAAATAAGGGGGGGGGGGGGGACCTGCAAATTTAATGTCCAGTTGTCAATGCGATGACCGAAACTGTTTTGGATGAATTTTTCTTTATTTCCTTTGTTTGTGAGAAGTTAAGTTAATTGTACCCTAAAACCGCTTGACAGTTATTCTTGTATTTTTTTTTTAAATTTGAGAATGCACTGCAACCTTGCCAATAGCAATTTTTTTTTTTTTAAAATAACCCGCATCCATAACGATTCTTGGCTTTCTTCGAGGTATTTCTCTTTTAAACTCCTGTCTTCGCTGATCTCAAGCAGATGTGAACAAAACTTGATTATTGCCGCGGCACCCCTGGCATACGCTCGCGGCACCCATGGCACCCAACCCCATGGCATATATTAATAAATAACCACGCTGCGCACCCCTGGCATACGCTCGCAGCACCCCTGGCATACGCTCTCTGCACCCCTGACATACGCTCTCGGCACCCTTGACATACGCTCGCGGCACCCCTGGCATACGCTCGCGGCACACACTTTGAGAACCGCTGCTCTGGAGGACTACGAGGCTGAACTTCGCTGCATTTAGTGTGTGCCTTTTCTGCTAGGCCAACTAAATATTGTCTTTTATCCGCCTTCTAACTTCTTGACTAACTTTTGTGCTTATAATGTCATCTGGGTCATTAGAGCAAAATAAAGTAAAGATACCTTTTCATGCCTTTTAGGCGCATAGTGCATATAAGAAGAGCACCCATATTTTTACAGACCAATCAGCACTAAGTGGGTAATGTGGTCAGCATTACGCCGGTCGTCTTTATTTCCCCCGGACACACATCCTGGTACCCATTTTATGTGGGTCGACCTGCGACGCCCCAGCAGAGCAAGATAATCCCCCTTAATTCTTATCCTACAAACACAAAGATCATCACTTGGTAATCTTAGTGTCAGCTTCATAGCAAACGAGTCACCCCATAGTTGCCCTGCTCCTGTGCCAACGAAAAACACACAGAATGTTCGTCGCAGTCCCTTGTGGAAAGATTGACAGACACTAGCATACACACGCATTAAAAGCATACGCTAGCCATCATAAGTGCTAACCTAAACAGTTTGACATTAGAAATGCAGTTCATCATCGACGGTAGCAGAAGTCGCCAACAGATCAGCAGTTGCGCACGCGATCAATATGAATCACATAAGGGCACCACCAATATTACGGCGACAGGCCACGCGCTATTTTCTGAATCTACAGTTCACAACACCACGTTGGTCACAGTCAGAAAACATTCCAAATGAAATCCGCAGTCCGAAGGGTCGCGCCATGCACTCAACTCAGTAGCTAAAGCGACGAAACTTTATCCTTCCAGTCTACAAATGGATCAAAAATGCAACAGCCACCGTCTGGTAGAAGCAAAAAAAAAAAAAAAAATTCCTCGACGCGAAACAGTCCATTTTGACCGGAAGTCATTGTCGACGAGGGGACTCTGACAGACTCGGTTATGCTCCTTGATTTGTCAAAATAGATAACATGGCTGCAGGTGTCCATGAAGATATCCGGTTTGAGGTTTGAACAGCGGATCAACATCATGGCACACGGGTAGAAACCCATAAGTGCTCCGTTCTTTTTCTTACTGAAGTATGAGTACGAAGAAGCTCAGCACAGTGCACAGGCTCTGTAGCACCGGCGAGGATCTTGAAATACTTTGGGTAGATTTTTAACTCCTCATTTTGCTAGGGCAACGCCGTTAGGCTACTCTTTTCATTTTCCTACTGCCAAATCATTTTTTACGTGCGCAACAATGCACACGGGCGCCCGATCTCACTACACAAAGACCAGGGGGAATATCAAATCCTGGTACACGGCACCAAAATAAAGAAATTAAAAAAAAATTTAAAAAAAAAAAAAGAACAAGGAATTGAACCCGGAACCTCTAGCACTCGAAGCGAACACCCAACATCGAGACTAAGCAATCCCTGGGAAAATATATGATTTTTATTGTATATTCACATGAAATAAAATGAAGAACATCTTGTGCAATATATTTGTGCCATTAAGAGTAGAAAAAATAATTCTTGCTTGCTACATACATCCAATTTTAAAATATGGCTGTGAATCCTGGACAATCGGTAGGCAGGTCAAACAATTTCTTGAGGCCTCAGTGATGTGGTTTTACAGAAGAATGATTAGAATACCTTGGACAGCCAAAAACGACAACCAAAAGGTTTTGAAAGAGGCGGAAGCCCGAAAACAACTTATCACAGACATCAGAAGGAGACAGTCATCATTTTTCGGCTATGTTATAAGAAGAGGGAAAATAGAACATGTTGTGAGCACTGGAAAGATGTGTGGAAGAAGGGATAGCGGAAGACAACGAGAGAAGATGCTTGACAGTCTTGTTGCATGGCATGGAGTTGTGTCGACACACGAACTGATACATGCTGCAGGAGATCGCAAATTGTGGAGAGGCATGATCGCCCACGCCAGTCGGCAAGGCACCTGATGATGGTGATCAACATGACGCTTTGCGTTGGTTTCTACAGTGGTATTAAGAGCTGACCGTTGAGTAAGCAAAAGTGTACAACAGAATGTACCGTACCTACAAAAACCTCGCCGGCTCAAACAATTAGCTGGCGTTGATTCTGCAACGTCCTGCAACTAACTTTTTAAATAATATATATAAAACAGCACCCATATTTTTACAGACCAATCGGCACTAGGTAGGTCATGTGGCCAGCATTACGCCGGCTGTCTTTACTTCCCCAGGACATACCCATTTTAGGCTGGATCGACCTGCGATGCCTCATACCATGAAAAAAATCCACGCAGCCTGCAGTGGGTTTCGATCGCGGTACGTCGAAATTACCAGCCAGATTCACAACGCCTAAGCCACGGACGCCTCATATATATATATTTAGACCTATATTTTTAAAGACAAATCGGCACTTGGTAAGTGATGTGTACACACACACATACACACACACACACACACACACACACACACACACATATATATATATATATATATATATATATATATATATTTACACTAAAATATATATATATATATATATATATATATATATATATATATATATATATATATATATATATATATATATATTTAAGTGAAGACAGATACTTTATCCTTATCCTATCCACATTTCTTGTATTTCTAAATTTAACCAGGAGAAAGGTGGCCGATATTTGCTGGGACGTTCCTACATCGGAGTGAACTTCGACCCCAGAGCCAAAGCTCAGTGGCTAGAGATGGTCCAGAACGCCAGAAAGCAGGTGGCTTGTTGGCACAAGTTACAGTACTGACATGTGTTGGCACAAGTTACAGTACTGACAGGTGTTGGCACAAGTTACAGTACTGACAGGTGTTGGCACAAGTTACAGTACTGACATGTGTTGGCACAAGTTACAGTACTGACATGTGTTGGCACAAGTTACAGTACTGACATGTGTTGGCACAAGTTACAGTACTGACATGCGTTGGCACAAGTTACAGTACTGACATGCGTTGGCACAAGTTACAGTACTGACATGTGTTGGCACAAGTTACAGTACTGATATGTGTTGGCAGAAGTTACAGTACTGACAGTTGTTGGCACAAGTTACAGTACTGACATGTGTTGGCACAAGTTACAATACTGATATGTGTTGGCAGAAGTTACAGTACTGACAGTTGTTGGCACAAGTTACAGTACTGACAGGTGTTGGCACAAGTTACAGTACTGACATGTGTTGGCAGAAGTTACAGTACTGACAGTTGTTGGCACAAGTTACAGTACTGACATGTGTTGGCACAAGTTACAGTACTGACAGGTGTTGGCACAAGTTACAGTACTGACAGGTGTTGGCACAAGTTACAGTACTGACATGTGTTGGCACAAGTTACAGTACTGACAGGTGTTGGCACAAGTTACAGTACTGACAGGTGTTGGCACAAGTTACAGTACTGACAGGTGTTGGCACAAGTTACAGTACTAACATGCGTTGGCACAAGTTACAGTACTGACATGCGTTGGCACAAGTTACAGTACTGACATGTGTTGGCACAAGTTACAGTACTGACATGTGATAGCACAAGTTACAGTACTGACCGGTGTTGGCACAAGTTACAGTACTGACATGTGTTGGCACAAGTTACAGTACTGACATGTGTTGGCACAAGTTACAGTACTGACATGTGTTGGCACAAGTTACAGTACTGACAGGTGTTGGCACAAGTTACAGTACTGACATGTGTTGGCACAAGTTACAGTACTGACATGTGTTGGCACAAGTTACAGTACTGACAGGTGTTGGCACAAGTTACAGTACTGACATGTGTTGGCACAAGTTACAGTACTGACATGTGTTGGCACAAGTTACAATACTGACATGTGTTGGCACAAGTTACAGTACTGACAGGTGTTGGCACAAGTTACAGTACTGACATGCGTTGGCACAAGTTACAGTACTGACATGCGTTGGCACAAGTTACAGTACTGACATGTGTTGGCACAAGTTACAGTACTGACATGTGATAGCACAAGTTACAGTACTGACTGGTGTTGGCACAAGTTACAGTACTGACATGTGTTGGCACAAGTTACAGTACTGACAGGTGTTGGCACAAGTTACAGTACTGACATGCGTTGGCACAAGTTACAGTACTGACATGCGTTGGCACAAGTTACAGTACTGACATGTGTTGGCACAAGTTACAGTACTGACAGGTGTTGGCACAAGTTACAGTACTGATATGTGTTGGCAGAAGTTACAGTACTGACAGTTGTTGGCACAAGTTACAGTACTGACATGTGTTGGCACAAGTTACAATACTGATATGTGTTGGCAGAAGTTACAGTACTGACAGTTGTTGGCACAAGTTACAGTACTGACAGGTGTTGGCACAAGTTACAGTACTGATATGTGTTGGCAGAAGTTACAGTACTGACAGTTGTTGGCACAAGTTACAGTACTGACATGTGTTGGCACAAGTTACAGTACTGACCTTTGTTGGCACAAGTTACAGTACTGACAGGTCTTGGCACAAGTTACAGTACTGACATGTGTTGGCACAAGTTACAGTACTGACATGTGTTTGCACAAGTTACAGTACTGACAGGTGTTGGCACAAATTACATTACTGACAGGTGTTGGCACAAATTACAGTACTGACAGGTGTTGGCACAAGTTACAGTACTGACAGGTGTTGGCACAAGTTACAGTACTGACAGGTGGGGCAACTATGGGAAATAACGTTGTACGTCAAAATTTTCTACTGGTCATAATCTTGCCACTTGATATCACCATTAAGTGCCTCGCCGACTAACCTGGGCGATCATGCCTCTCCACAATTTCCGTTTTGCAACTGCTTGTATCCGTTCGTATGCTGACACGCCTCCATCCCATGACAAAAGACTGCTAAGAATATTATCGCAACTGTCGTCGGCTGTGTCTCTTTCCACTGCGTGCAAGTTCAAGTTTCGACGTTTTGAATTATAAAGTAATTAACGTAGAAAAAAATATAAATTTAAATAATTTTTGACATTAATCCTTTCATTAAATGATACCATAAATTATAATTATTTATAAGATAAAGTAAAAGTAAAGTAAAGGACCAGGCCAGGTTTACTCAGCATACAGGGCTAGATTTGTATTTTGTAGACGGATCGGTACCCGGTGAGTTATGTGGTGAACATTACGCCGGCCACCTTTACCCCCCAGGACTTCATATTGTACCCATTTAAGGCTGGGCGACCCAGGCAGCCAAACCATTTTCGAAATAAAGAAAAGGCCGGCTCCATGCTAAATAATCAGCACCTAGGACTTTGAGATCCGCAAGGTGAGCCACAGTAGCGCCTTGGGGGGGGGGGGGAGGGGGGGTGGGGGGGGGGGTGGGGGGGGGGGGGGGGGGGGTAACCCATTGTGTCTTTTGTAGCAAAAACGTGTTAGGTTACGTTAATCTCCCCAAATAGAGTAGGTCACTTTTCATTCACAAGTTTGTTGGACTGGTCGACTTTACTGAAGGTTACGGGTGTGTCCCCCTCTATTGTTTGCATTCTGTGTCTTTCATTTACGTTTTCATTCCGAGAAAGAGAATGCCTGTGACACAGGTTGTAGCACTCTCTAGGGAAGTGAGCTAGTGTGTATATGGGCTGTTGTGGTTCTTCTAGGCAAATTCACGTCCAGTAGTTTGCCATTGCTTTCTGTACGGACAGCTTCTAGACACCACTGTCGAAACCAATGCAAGGGCTGCAGCTGGGATCGAACCGGCACCGCGGCATTACGAAGCCCGCTCGCAACGCCCAAGCCAGAGATGCCGACTGTCCTAGTTTGCTGGGATGAAAAGACACGGCAATGCTCCACCTATTGGTTCTCTGCCATTTCTTTTAGTGGCTAAAACATCCAAACACACGGGTTTATTTCGACGTCTGTGGCCGAGCTATTTTGAACGCGCTTCGTAATGCCGGGGTGCCCGGTTCGATTGGGTTGGTTCCGCAACGAGCTGAAAAAACTGACTGTGAACATAGCGCCACATGTACGATAGATACCTCAGTGGTGCAAAAGCGGGTCTTTTATTTACTTTACTGATTAGTTGCTTTTTAGCCCATGTCTGTGATGTCAAAGTTTTTATTTATTATTAATCTTTTGATTCCAGCCTCAGACAGTTTTTCGTATGGGTTAAAGTGTCCCCTGGTGGGATGTTGGGGGATGAAGCAGCAGCAGCAGTGGTAGTAGTCGAAGAAGAATGCACATACATAGATCTTTATTATCCTGTACCTACATAAATGTTTATCTTACTGCACATATATAGATGCATACGTTATTTGTACATATATAAAGGGAATATGTTTACTGCTTATACATTGATGTATATCTGTACAGCACATACAAAGATGTAGGGTTTTACTGCACACACACACATTTAGAGTTTTGGTGCGCCCTTACTGTATTCATATATAGACATAAATAGACGTATATGTGTATTTTTTAAAATATATATATCTTTCAACTTAATACAAACGTACATATTAATTTAATTATTAATTTCTTTCTTTTTTTTTTCTTCTTCTCTTCCTTCAGATGCTAGATATGGTGCAGACTTTAATGATTATGACTGACTAATCATCTAATAGTAGTATCAATTTTTCCCAAATATCATGTTCAACCTTCAGGGTTATCACTGGGATATATCGTGTTTATTGAGTTCTCAGAGTAAATGTTTGCTATTTTATATTTATGTATCGCGTAATTATTGTTATGACCGATATGTAACAATTGTATTGTTTCACATATTGCTTTTGATTTGGGTTATGATTATGATAAAAACTGTAATATGAATAATTAGACGATCTTATTAACATTTTGTCATTACCATGGTAGATTTTTTATTTCCTTGGTGCAGTAGTTGATTATTCTACGTCATGGCTTAAGCGCTGCGAGTCCGACTCGTAATTCCAACATACCGCGATCGAAACCCACTGCTGGCTGCGTGGATTTTTAATCATAATATGGGGCGTCGCAGGTCGACCCAGCCTCAAATGGGTACCCGGATGTGTGTCCTAGGCCAATAAAGACGACCGGCGTAATGCTGACCACATTACCCACCGAGTGCTGATTGGTCTGTAAAAATGTGGGTGCTCTTCCCATATGCCCGATGTGCCTAAAGGCCTGAAAAGTGATCTTTACTTTTTAATAAACTACTTCAACTTGAACACAGGTCGCTGGGGGTTGTATATGTGCAGCACATGTTTATATCGTCATTAGTAATTTACCGAGATTCATGTAGTCAGTTAATGGTCTCTATTTGGTTTTCATATTTCCTATACTCCATCAAAAACGGTTCTATAGTAGTGTATTTCTGGCATACATTACAGATCCCTTCCTGTATAGTAAAGCAAACCCATTCAAGTTGTATTCTAAGCAGTTTACGGTTGCATGGTATTTTAAGTTTATCTGTTATATGTCTTTAAAGATAATTTTAACAGTTTATTTGAATGTCTACCCTTCCGGCTATGTCTCAGTTTAAAAACCATTCATCTGACAGACATTTGTTTTAAACTAGTGATGTAAAGTCCCCAGTGCTCATACTTATAGTAACAATATTTTTAGTGGATTTACCTTAGTTCTACAACTGTTTCGGCTTCTTTATTATGGTCCTGAACAATATCTTATCAGCTGTACTGCAAAATGATTATTGGAATCATAGACATGGTTTTCTAGAATAATGAGCGTCTGTTGTAGATATATATGTAAAAATACAATTTATAAGCCTCCTCTCTCTCTATATATATATATAAATATGTGTATTATATATATGTGTGTGT